CATGGATAGCAACACTGCCATCCATATAAGATTTTGCAGGTAAATACTTAATTTTAATTGTGTTTAAAGACATTCACATGCCTGCTAATCCTCCACATTCTGCTTTTGTTGCTGGAATGGTAAGCGGCACTTGGGGGACACTCACATTACAGACGCCATCCTCCCTGCTTGGACTACATTTCTTGGCAGCCCTTTTAGGAGATGTTGTTGGTGCTTCCTTTTACTGTGACAATACCTGTGTGCTGGATGAAGGGCCAAGGGACTACATCATCCTGTGGTCCTATGTAGAGATGCTGATTGAAATTGAGAAGCACTTTGGCAGCATTATCAGCCCTGAAAAGCAAAATTAAAGAAAAAAAGAACATTGAGGAATATATGAAAATCCACACAAAGGCATATTCTATTAACACTGAAAAACTTATTTTACAGTATGGGATCTATTTATAATTTTTTTTACAAGATTTATACAACTTTCACCCAGGAGTTACATGTTTTCCCTACTGAATCCAAATAGAAAAAAGGTGAATCTTGAGTGCAGGTCATAACTTTATATGTCATCCTGTTCCCCAAATTGGTTTTATGAAAAGTAAATTGGCAGTGAAGCCGTAAGTAGGTTAGTTTACTAATTGTACACTGCTGAAAAAAAATTAAAGGAACACTTTTTTTAATCAGAGTATAGCAAGTCAATTCAACTCCTGGGATATTGATCTGGTCTGTTAAGTAACAGAGGGAGTTGTTAATCAGTTTCATCTGCTTTGGTGTTAATGAAATTAACAACAGGTGCACTAGATGGGCAACAATGAGATGACCCCGAAAACAGGAATGGTTTTACATGTGGAGGCCACTGACACTTTTTCCCCTACTCATCTTTTCTGACTGCTTTTCACTAGTTTTGCATTTAACTAGGGTCAGTGTCACTACTGGTAGCATGAGGTGATAACTGGACCCTACAGAGGTTGCACAGGCAGTCCAACTGCTCCAGAATACATGCCATTGTCAAAAAGTTTGCTGTGTCTCCCAGCACAGTCTCAAGAGCATGGAGGAGATTCCAGGAGACAGGCAGTTACTCTAGGAGAGCTGGACAGGGCCATAGAAGGTCCTTTACCTATCAGCAGGACCAGTATCTGCTCCTTTGTGCAAGGAGGAGCAGGATACGCACTGCCAAAGCCATACAAAATTACCTTCAGCAGGCCACTGGTGTGAATGTCTCTGACCAAACCATCAGAAATAGACTTCATGAGGGTGGCCTGAGGGCCCAACATCCTCTAGTGGGCCCTATGCTCACTGCCCTGCATCATAAAGCTAGATTAGCATTTGCCACTGAACACTAACATTGGCAGGTACGCCACTGACACCCTGTGCTTTCCACATATGAGAGCAGATTCACCCTGAGCACATGTGACAGGCGAGAAAAGGTCTGGAGAAGCTGTGGAGAACGTTATGCTGCCTGTAACATCATTAAGCATGACCATTATGGTGGTGGATCAGTGATGGTCTGGGGAGGCGTATCAATGGAGAGATGCACAGAAATCTGCAGGCTAGATAATCGCACCCTGACTGCCTTTAGGTATTGGGATGAAATTGTTAGACCCTACACTGGTGCAGTGTGTCCTGGGTTCCTCCTGGTGCATGATAATGCCCGGCCTCAGGTGGTGAAAGTGTGCAGGCAGTTCCTGGAGGTTGAAGGAATTGATGCCATTGAATGGCCTGCTCGCTCTCTCCTGACCTAAATCCAATAGAAAACCTCTAGGATATCATGTTTCGGTTCGTCTGACACCGCCAAGTTGCATCTCAGATTATCCAGGAGCTCAGTGATGCCCTGGTCCAGATCTGGGAGGAAATACCCCAGACACCATCTGCCATCTCATCAGGAGCATGCCCCGACGTTGTCAGGCATGCATACAAGCATGTGGGGGCCATACAAACTACTGAGTACCATTTTGAGTTGCTGCAATGAACTTTCAGCAAAATGGACTAGCCTGCTGCATCATTTTTTTCACTTTGAATTTCGGGGTGTCTTTGAATTCAGTCCTCTGTAGGTTAATAATTTTGATTTCCATCAAACGATGGGGCATCCCTACGTTCCTAACACATTAACCGGTCCATATCAGTATAGATATCCAGCATGAGATTTTTCCCCATTGAGATCTGATGTGTTTTCAAAGTGTTCTTTTAATTTTTTTGAGCAGTGTATTATCCTTGCATACTTTTATGTAGGTTGCTTAATTTCCAGTTGTACTTTACACTGGTATTCATACTACATTACATGTACTCTGTCAGTGGGGAAGCCTGCTAGAGGAAGTATTGCAGGTCAATAGGCAATTGTGGCTAACTGTTGCATAAGATGTTATACTCAGCAGATTAAAGAATGCCCAATTGAATGTAAATTTGTGAACCAAGCATTCTAAGGATTCACTCATGGGCAGGTAGTGTTTGGGTGGGAGCACTGGGCAGGAGCCAAAAATGCACCAATTGCTTTCTTTTCACACCGAACAATCCTTAGGGGACCAAAACCTTTCTAAATGTAAAATGTACAGTTTCCTGTGTGCATTCTTAGGTATAAAGAGTACAGTTCTCTATATGCACTCAGTAGTGAAGTAAATGTTTTAAAGGGCTGGAACACCATTCAAACTTTTAAATTGAGGAGATTTTGATTGTTGGGCTGAGCAAATTTTCATCTGGGAATTTAAACTTCACTCAGATCCAAAATGCTGTGGAAACTATTGTAGTCCAGGGTTGGCAACTGAAAATTATTTTTTTCTTGGAAAGTTACCCAGAAACTCACAGCTCAAATGTGCCACAGGCATTTTGGCCACTCATTAGACAGTATAGTATAATTTTTGACTTTATAGAAAAACAGTTTACTGGTAATTTTGTGTATGGACATATAATTATTGTGGATGACAGGAACAATGCATAAATAGAATAATATCACAAAAAGAATTATGATATATAGTGCATTTGCCACTTTTTGGCAGTCTACCATCAACTACAGTCAATTACGCATCATGCTTAGATGTAATAAAACTCAAATGCATCAATAAATAAAATATTTTTAAATAAAAATTTTGACAGACTTTACAAAGAATTGTAATTTAACTGAAATTTTTTTGACCATCCACAAGCTTCTGGATGGCTGTTAAACTCACAAAAGTTGAGGCAACATCACTTTTTTTTTTTAAAAAAAACTGTGGAAAGCATACATTCAAAGATAAATTTTTAGTTTCACAATTAAAATTTTACTTCTGGCATTGAGCAGGTTCTCCATGTTCATTATAATTTGGGCATGGCGAAAAAGCATACAGCTATCTGGAAACATATAGAAGAGATACATCCTGTAGTATATTGTGTTTAATACAATCTGCATTCTGCATCAAATGCTGAGCTTCTTATAACCTTGTGCAGAGCTCATAAAATCTAACTGATAAAAAATAAGAACAGCTGCAAACTACTCTTAATAGTAATTTCTTTTTCCTGTGTACAAAGATCACCACTCTGGAATTCATAAAGAATGGAGCAGACAGATTTTGAGAACGTGTCTCTCATGCGTTCTAAGGCTCCATCAGGGGCGGACTGACCATTTGGAAACTCGGGCACTGCCCGAGGGCCCGGGGTCAGTAGGGGGCCCCATGAGATGCCCCTGGTACCTTTTTCATTGGCTTTTTTGAATTTGGGCAAGGACACAAGGGCCCCATGATCCCCTATTGCCCGGGGGCCCCATGAGTTGTCAGTCCGCCCCTGGGCTCCATGCACACTGGCTTAGAAAAAAGGTGTTTCTCCAGGAATATTGTGTTTCACCTGTAGAAGCAGCTCAATGTTATCCTATGTGTCCATGCACATTAGGTCATTTAGAGGCAAATTTTAAGCCCAGCATTTAGAGGCAGGAAAAATTCTTCTGGTTTGCATTTTTGATTGGAGTTTTCTGGCAAAAAAATGTGGAGCACTCCTAAATGAGCATAAACATTGTACAAAAAAGCTCTATATGAGCGTTTTTTTTTCTGCCAAGGGAACTGGTGATTTTTTAAACAAAGTGTACATGGAGCGTTAATGTGATGCAGTATGCGCCAAATTACATCTCTAGATATACTTGAATTCGTCACATACTGTGCCACTTTTAAAATGCACGCAAAACACTTTCACAAAATCTGTCGACACCAGGATCTTTCTCTTTACACCAAAAGAGAGTAGGTCTCACTTAGCTCCACTTTCATTAGCTACAAAGTGTTGGTATTTTATCTTGAGTTTGGCTCATTCATTGAGCCACAGCGTAAAAGTGGCACATTTTAGAACTGAATTTAGCACAAAAGTCACTGTCAGAACCAAAAGTGTTGCAAATGCTTTATGAATAAAAATACATTAACAAGAAGGATTAACACTAGAAAAATGGCTAAACAGCTTTATTGAATTCTCTGCACAGTGAGGGATATCTGTTAACTCTGTCATACAGCAATAATGGAGCAGAGAAGTCTATTATGAGTCCTCATGCACACTGGACGTTTTTAAAGCTGCTGTTTTTGGCTTTTGACATTTTATTCTACAGCCAGTAAACTCCCCAGCATGTTATCCTATGTGTCCGTGCACACATAGACTGTAATCAACGTTTTTTGGCTGGGGTGTCTTTTGGCTGGAAAAAAACCCACAAACTAGTGGGTTTCTAAAGGAGTTTTTTTTTAGTTGTAAAAATGCTCTAATGCTGAAAAACACACAAAACGCAGTCAGAAATTGCGGTAAACCTGCGTTTTTGGACTTTTTTACCCCCCCAAATTTTGGTAAACAAAAACTCTAAAAAATATGCAAATGCGAAAAAACATGTCAAACACTACTTAAAGCTAATACAAAAACGCTGAAAAACTCATGTTTTTAATGTGACTTTACACAGCTAACGTTACCAGCGTTACTAAAACGCCCAGTGTGCATGGAGCCAGCAGATTTGAAATAAGATTGCAGGTTAATTTATAAATTCCTCCCTCTGCTGCTCTAAAGTAGAACGTCAGCAATATAAAACCTGTTCTTGACCATTTTTTAAATTGTGAATGGGTTTAGAGTGAAAATCTGTTTTGTCTACAGTGTTCTTGGACCTTTGTAAATCTGCTGACTAACCAGGATGGCAAGCACTGTGGTCACAAATACACAAAATAACTGTTGTATGTACTATGATTTAGTAGATGAGAGAAAATCCAATTTGCAATATAAGTAAATTTAGTTCTTATATGGATCCTCTGTAATCATTGGAGCAGCTGTTGATTTTTTTTGCTGTTATGGGCTTCACAAACTGCAGGTTTGATTGCTCTCCCCTGCCGTCTGGAGACTTCTGGAACATAGGAGGTTGAGCAGGGCAAATTGGATTGAATATTTATTGTGCTGAAGCCAATCCCTGGGGGGATGGTATGCCCAGTAGGTGGAAAAGGAGCACATAAATAGTCTAAAGCCTAGAGCAGCTTTAGTTTGGTCCTGGGTCCAACCATGCTGGAGGAGTCCCCAGCCTGAGGGGCCTCTCTGGGCACAAAAGCTGGAGTTACTGCATGTTCATCAAGGTCCCAAGTGTGGCATAACTGAGGCAGTGGGGCTCCCTCTAAGATCCCTAATCAAGGGATCACACTTAGCGACATGGTCTGCAGAGCTCACCTAAGAGTTCCTGGTGGATACTGCAAGGAGACATCCAGTGATCCCATGACATTGTGATCTGTGGATTGTCCTTATGTGAATATTCAGTGAATCTACAGTATCCCATATTACCCTACACCACATCGAAGTTCTTCAATAAAAAGTCCTGAAAAGAAATCCCCTAGACTGATTATTCAGCGATGAGTGAATGAACTGTTGCTGAGTGCCTGGCTGCTTCTGCACTAGTTCTTCAACTGGTTCTTTCTTTTGGGAAAGAACCAGTTAAATTACAGCTGAAGCTTTCTGGGCAGCGCTACACTTAATAATTGTCCTTCATTCTGTTTAGGGTTTTTTGCATTACAGCATTATTTTAACCACTTGCCTGCCAGGCACTTATACCCCCTTATTTACCAGGCCAATTTTCAGCTTTCAGCGCTGCCGCACTTTGATTGACAATTGCGCGGTCATGCAACATTGTATTTTGATCATTTTTTTCTCACAAATAGAGCTTTCTTTTGGTGGTATTTAATCGCCACTGGGCGCTTTACTTTTTGCGCTATAAATAAAAAAAGTGCAAAAAATTTGAAGAAAAAAAAAAGTTTCTTTGTTTCTATTATAAAATTTTTCAAACAGGTATTTTTTCTCCTTCACTGATGTGCGTTGATGAGGCAGCACTGATGGGCACTGATAGGCGGCACTGATGGGCACTGATAGGCAGCACTAAAGGGCACTGATAGGCAGTACTAATGAGGTGGCACGGATAGGCGGCACTGATAGACAGCACTAATGAGGTGTCACGGATAGGCGGCACTAATATGCAGCACTGATAGGCGGCACTGATAGGTGACACTGATGATGGGTACTGATAGACGGCACTGACTGGCATCACTGCTGGGCACTGACTGGCGGCACTGACTGGCACAACCCTTGGGCACTGATTGGTGGCACTGACTGGCAGCACTGCTGGGCTGCACTGGTGGGTGGCACTGGTGGGCAGCACTGGTGGGTGGGCACAGGTGGGTGGCACTGGTGGGCACAGGTGGGTGGGCACAGGTGGGTGGCACTGCTGGGCACAGGTAGGTGGCACTTCTGGGCACAGGTGTGTGACACTGCAGAGTGGCACAGGTGGGTGCACTGCTGGGCACAGGTATGTGCACTGCTGGGCACAGGTGGGTGATCTGCTGGGCACAGGTGGGCGGAGCTAGTGGGCGCACTGCTGGGCACAGGTGGGAGGAACTTGCGGGTGGCACTGCTGGGCACCGATCATCAGGGCACTGATAATCGTGCCCTGATGATCGGTGCCGATCCCCCGCTCTGACAACTGCCGGTTCTCGGCAGTACTTTCCTCACGATCTGACAGCGTGAGGAAAGTGCAGCCGAGAACCGGCACTTGCATTTCCCTCTGATCAGCGTGTCATTGGACACCGCTGATCACGTGGTAAAAGGCCGCTGTGATTGGCCTTTTACCACATCACGTCATCCTACGGACACAGCTATCACGGAGATCGCCGGGTGCGCGCCCCCTGGGGCGCGCAGGAGAGCGCGTTCTGGGAGGACGTCATATGACGTCCACTCAGAACTGGCCGGCTGCAGTGCAGCCGTCATTCGGCTATCTGCGGTCGGCAGGTAGTTAACATGTCTTAAAGCCCATCTACCTGTATGCTCTTTTTCATTCACAAAATGCACAGTCACAGTATCATCACAGGTTGTGTTTTGAGAATGGGTCGAGAAAAAAAAAACAGTTTACGTAGTTCAGCTTTAACTAAAACCCCAGCAAAACATAGTTATTTTAAGTACTTCCCTATCTGAGGCCAGAAAGGCCAGGAAAACCACAGATACAAAGTAAGAAACTGTTATTTCTGCCTAGGATTCTCCACTGACCTCTAAATCATTTTTGTATCAATTTACTAACTGGTATACATTATTATTAGATTTATTGTTTTCACCATTTTAACAATACATTTTTCCAGTTTCCGTATCTGCAGTAGATCAGCAGTTGTCGTCCTCACCACTTCTAGATGCCTAAATGCATTGAATTAGTGCCATGTGATTGGCTGATTAGCAATTTGTAAGTGTATTTTGAAAAATGTTACAAAACAAAGCAGAAAGGCATGGCTAATATATATATAGTATTGGGACACCCCTCCAAATCATTGGATTTAGGTATTCCAATCACCTCTATGGCCACAGGTGTATAAAATCAAGCACCTAGGAATGCAGACTGCTTCTAAAAACATTTGTGAAAGAATGGGTCACTCTCAGGAGCTCAGTGAATTTAAGTGTGGTACCATGATAGGTTGCCACCTGTGCGATAAGTCCATCTGTGAAATTTCCTTGCAGATAAATATTCCACGGTCAACTGATCAACACACTGAAACATGGTAGTGGCAGTGTCCTTCTATATGGTGCATGAGTGCTGCTGGTGTCAGGGAGCTGCATTTCATTGATGGTATCATAAATTCACATATGTACTGCTCTATATTGATAGAGAAGATGCTACCATCACTCCGTGCCCTTGTTCATCATGCACTGTTCCAATATGACAATGATCCAAAACACACATCTAAGGCCACTGTTGCATTTCATGTGGGGAATTCTGAAGAGACAAGTTGAGCATCAATCTCCATCCAGCATTCAGGCTCTAAAAGAGGTGGTTCTTGAAGAATGGAAAAAGATAGATGTTGCAATATGTTGCCAACTTGTTCATTCCATGCCTAGAAGACTTGGTACTTTCGTTATAAATCATGGAGGTCATACAAGATACAATTTAGTAGTTTTTGTTGTGGGGGTATTCATTTTTGCATCAACTAATTTGAGTAAAACTGAAGTTTTTGTAATATAAATTATAATATTAATCTTACTTTCATTTAATGAGCTAAACAAATGTTCTATAAAACTCAGTTTTGTCAAAATTTTGGAAATTGTTCTTGTGTTCATTGAGATATTGATTAAAATCTTACTTTTCAAAAGCGGTGTACTCATTAATGCTGAGCACTGTATATACAGTTAAGGAAATAAGTATTTGATTGCCTGCTGATTTTGAATGTTTGCCCACTCACAAAGAAATGATCAGTCTAAAAATCGAATGGTAGGTGTAATGTAACACTGAGAGACAGAATAGCAACAAAAAATTCAAAGGAAATGCAGGTCTAACAAATTATGCACTGACTTGCATGTTCATGAGGGAAATAAGTATTTGATCCCCTATCATTAAGCAGGATTTCTGGCAACCAGGTGTCTTTCATAAGATAACAAGCTGAGATTAGAAGCAGTCTCTTAAAGGGAGTACTGCTAATCTCATTTTGTTACCTGTATAAAAGACAACTGTCCACAGGAGCAATCAAACAATCAGATTCCAAACTCTCCACCATGACAAAGACCAAAGAGCTGTTCAAGGATGTCAGGGACAAGATTGTAGACCTACACAAGGCTGGACTGGGCTACCAAACTATCGCCAAGCAGCTTGGTGAGAAGGTGACAACAGTTGGTGCAATCATTTGCAAATGGAAGAAATACAAAACAACTGTCAGTCTCCCTAGGTCAGGTGCACCATGCAAGATCTCACCTCGTGGAGTGTCAATGATCATGAGAACAGTGAGGAATCATCCCAGAACTACATGTGAGGATCTTGCCAATGATCTCCAGGTAGCTCCAGGCCAGGGATTTTCTTGGGCAACTGGGTGTAGAGCAGATTTCATATGGGGTCGGAGGTGGTACACAAGGAGAGGCTGGCTGGCTCTCCAAGAAGAGAAAACCCTTCTGACTACTTGTACATAGTTTCAGGAAGTTGTCCTCAGTTTTACAGTTCCTTGGGCAACCCATGTGTCCCTCATCCCCATCCAAGTTATCAATCCCCTAATAAAATCCAAAAAAACAAGTTCAAGGACTGTTTACGGTCTCTGAAGTGCAAGTCCGAAAGGAAATGCGTGTTGCCTGGTTGTTCAGGACTATAGGGGGACCCAAAACTCTAGCAACTCCTAAGGGGATAGCGCTACATCAGTATCTGTAAGATTCTGACATAATGGAGCCAAATTTTGGGACAATGTAGCATGCATAAACAGGATTTACATCATCTATGCCTGCCCAATGACTAAAAAATAAAGATACTGGATGAAGCTTATTAAAATCTAAGTAGAGTAAAGTATCAACTTACAGTTAAAGGATAAATGTAATTTTAGACCAGCAGGCTTCCATTTTTCTATCCTTTCTCCCTTTAGTTCACATCTTATTCTTACTTGCATTCATACTGGGCACTACACAGCCTCCTCTTCAAAAGTCTCCGGATCTTCCTCATGCTGTGATCTCCATTCCCTCCTATGACATCTATCTTTAATCCCAATGGTGGAAGGCCTTTTCATAACAATGAATGGAGATTGTGACCTTTTGAAGAGCAGGCTTTGCATGTTCAGCAGGCCCTCTCTGAAGGTAAGCTAAACCTGCATTCACACCTAGGTAGAGCATATTCCTGGTGATTTTGAAGCATTTTTTTTCAGGCATAGTACAGATATTTTTGCGCATGTATTAATCTTCAGGAATTTGCGTCCTGAGCTAGGCAAGGAGACCAGTTTTTTGGGCATAAAAGTGCAGGTACAAAATTGACA